ATTTTATTTTTATGTGGTGCTGAGGATCGAACCCAGTGCCCCGCACATGCCAGGCGAGGGAGTTACCGCTTGAGCCACATCCCCAACCCCCCTTTTATTTTTATTTAATTTTTTATTGTTACTTTTTGGTGCTTTTAGGTATACATGACAATAGGACATAACTTGACATACTGCATATACATGGCATACACACCACTATAATTAATTATGATCCCATTCTTGTGGATGAAGATGATGTGTTGTTACACTGGTCATGTATTCATATATGAGCACAGGAAAGTTATGTTCTATTCATTTTATTATCTTTCCTATTCTCATTCTCGCTCCCTTCCCCTCATTTCCCTTTGTCCAATCCAGTGAACTTCTATACTTCCCCTCCTTACCCTCCCTTGTTATGAGTTAACATTCAAATATCAGACAGAACACTCTACCTTTTGTTTTTGGGGACTGGCTTATTACACTTAACATGATATTCTCCAGTTTCATCCATTTACTGGCAAATATCATAATTTCATTCTTTTTACAGCTGAGTAATATTCCATTGTGTATATATACCACATTTTCTTTATCCATTCATCTGTTCAAGGGCACCTAGGTTGGTTCCATAGCTTAGCTATTGTGAATTAAGCTGCTGTAAATACTATATTGCTGCATCACTGTAGCATGCTGATTTTTAAGTCCTTTAGGTATAAGCTGAAAAATAGGATAACTGGGTCAAAAGGTGGTTCCATTCCACGTTTTCTAAGGAATCCCTATACTTTTTTCCAGAGTGGTTGTACCAGTTTGCAGTACCAACAGCAATGTACGAGTGTACCCTTATCCCCACATCCTTGCCAACATTTATTGTTACTTGTTTTCTTGATAATTGACATTCTGACTGAAGTGAGATGAAATCTCAGTGTAGTTTTATTTTGCATTTTTCTAATTGCTAGAGATGTTGAATATTTTTTCATATATTTTTTAACTATTTGTATTTCTTCCATGAAGTGTCTGTTCAGTTCCTTTGCCTATTTATTGATTGGGTTATTTGCTTGTTTGATGTTGAATTTTTTGAGTTCTCTGTATGTGTTGGAGATCAATGCTCTATCTGAAGTGCACATGGTAAAGATTTTCTCCCATTGTGTAGGCTTGCTGTTCATGTTTTTGATTGCTGTGAAGAAAGCTTTTAGTTTGATGCCAATCCATTTAATGATTCTTGATTTTACTTCTTGTGTTTTAGGAGTCTTTTTGAGGAAGTCTGTTTCTGAGCTGATTTGATGGAGAGTTGAGCCTACTTTTTCTTCTGTTAAGCTCAGAGTCTCTGGTCTAATGCCAAGGTCCTTGGTACACTTTAGGTTGAGATTTTTGCAGGGTGAGATATACAATCTACTACGTATGGATGTCCAGTTTTTCCAGCACCATTTGTTGAAGAGGCTATCTTTCCTTCAATGTATGTTTATGGGACATTTGTTTAGCATGAGAGAACTGTATTTATGTGGGTATGTCCCTGTGTTTTCTATTCTGTTCCATTGGTCTTCAATTCAATTTTTGTGACAATAGCCTGCAATTTTTTCCTACTATAGCTCTATAGTATAATTTAAGGTCTTACATACCTTCTGCCTTACTTTTATTGCTAAGGATTTCTTTGGGTATTCTGAGCCTCTTAGTTTTCCAAATTAATTTTATGACTGATTTTCTATCTTCATTAAGAATGTCATTGGAATTTTAATGAGAATTGCATTAAATTTGTATAACACATTTGGTTGTATGACCATTTTGACAATATTAATTCTGCCTATGTGAGAGCATGGGAGATCTTTCCATTTTCTAACGTCTTCTTCAATTTCTTTCTTTACTGTTATGTAGTTTTCATTGTAGAGGTCTTTTACCTCTTATCTTAGATTGATTTTATTATTTTTTGAGGCTATTGTAAATGGAATAGTTTTCCTGATTTCTCTTTCAGCTGATTCCTTATTGGTGTATGGGAATGCAATAGATTTATGTGTTAATTTTATATTCTGCTATGTTTCTGAATTCATTTATGAGTTCAAGAAGTTTTTTGTAGAGTTTTTTTATCTTCTAAATAGAATCATGTCATCAGCAAATAGGGATAGTTTGAGCTCTTATTTTCTATTCATATCACTTTATTTTTTTTCTTTTGTCTAATTGCTTTAGCCAGGGTTTCAAGGTCTATGTTGAATAGTAGTGGTACAAGAGGACATCCCTATCTTGTTCCAAATTTTAGAGGAAATACTTCCAATTTTTCTCCATTTAGAATGATGTTGGCCTTGGGTTTAGCATAGATAGCTTTTACAATGTTGAGGTATATTCTTACTACCCCTAGTTTTCCTAGTGTATTGAACATGAATGGATGCTGAGTTTGGTAAAATGCTTTTTCTGCATCTATTGAGATAATCATGTAGTTCTTGTCTTTAAGTCTATTGGTGTGATGAATTACATTTATTGATTTCTGTATGTGAACCAACATTGCATCCTTGGGATGCACCTCCCTGATCATTTTTTTCAATGGGCCCATTTTTACCAGTATTCCAAATACAAAGGAAGTCTATTTAAAAGTACCCTAGTAGTCATATACCTAAAATTTTCTCCTGTTCAAGGTTTGATCAATTTTCAATGTATATGTACTACCTAGACATGAGATTTTATCTTATGGACTAGCTTAACCTTAATGTACTGCTTAAAATGATAGCATGATGAAAGTATTGTTTCTTGAATAGTGATGCGAATATTTAAATTAAGAACTTAAAAAACAAGAGGCAGTATATTATCAGAACAATATGATTTTTAAAAACTGTATTCATTTATATATCTATTTATTTTAAATAGTCATACTAAATAACACCTACTTTGTGACAAACTTTAACCTGAGATCTTGTTCCATTTAATTGTCTTTTTACAGCCTTTATCACAAAGAATCTCAGATTTTACACTCTGTACCTGCCTGATACCAACCTTATCCATCAAATGACTAATAACTACTGACTCTAAGAGAAGCTTTGTCAAGGGGCAGATTGTGAAATCTCTTTTCTCTGCTTTTGTCCTCTTCACCTCTCCTCCAAAGTCATTTGATGCCAATACGTGGCTCATTTTGCACGCCCAGGCCCCCTGTGCTCCATCAATATCCCACAATACCAGATCTTTATTCTCTCTGACTTTCTCCTTCCACATCCAACCCCAGTTTCTCCTGCTCTAAATTGGATTGTTGGTGGTTGATAATGTATCATAACTTCCAATTATGCTTGCACTTGGAAAGCAGAGATGTGGGTAGAAGTTTGAAAGAAAAGAACTTTTACAATTTTAAAAAAGCATTTGAAGTCATGGAAAATACGCATAACATAAGGCTTACCACTCCATTATTTTCATGTGCACAGTCCAGAGGTATTAAGTATAGTCACACTGTTGCACAACCATTCATCTGCGCAAAGCCTTTTACTTTGAAAAACTGAAACTCTATGCTATACTACATTTTTCCAATCCAGCATCATCCCAACCTATTCTGTATTCTT